GCACATACATGAATATGATTATATATGTATACAATATATGTATGTCGGATCTTCAACATTCTTTGTGCAGTTTAACATAAGATCAATGAGAAAGAAATCACCTATAATATAATGCTTCACAAATATAGAAAGAAAACAAAAACTTGTAAAGAGAGATCCAGTAAATCATCAATTCAGCTTCATTAACCATTATGTGTTTAATATAAATGGTTACTATAAATGTGATTAAATATCATATTTAAAATCATATATCCATCTTATTCATCATCAATAGATCAACATTAAATACAAAACATGGTAATTCCAAAGATAACCACAAATTTCCCTCAACTAAGTCAAGACTCAAGACCATTAGATTTCAATGACAATTTAATAGTTAATTATAAATCAAATAATTTGAGAAAATACTGAAAGTTGGAACTAACTACGAATATCTGCAAGTGTTCAAATAGCAACTGCTACTATAGATTCCAAGGTTTATTATAAGATGCATAAAAAGAGAAGATGCATTATACTTTCAAACAATACCAATAACTTGCTTCAAAAACCTGAGCTTGTTTCAAGTCTTTCAGAGGTCATGATACACAAAGCCACCAATCACTTAACAAAGGTAACAGTGTATACAACATACTAAAAGGTAGATGTCCATAATTGACTGAGCTCATAAGCTATATAAAACATACGCAAACAAATAATTAAATATGCAAGTCAGACGTGACATACGAAATTCCAATAATAAGATAATGCACTGAAAAACAAAAGTGCTCACCGTGTTGGGATCCCATACTCTAACAATATGACTATCTGCAGAAATTATTTTTGGTTCAGCTGAATTGAGAGTCTGGTGCCACTTGATATTCAATATCGGACTACCATACCTATTAAGTGATCAAAAGATCATCAGCCACAACAAACTGCAAGTGGCATAAACTGTAATATACACAATCAAGCATGTACAGTTCATATGCACACTGACTTACCCATGCATAATATAAATGGAAGATCAAGATATATATACATCTATGAAATTATAGGGCCCATAAACTAGCATGAGATCAATATTCAACTTGCAAAACTTGACAGTTAACCAACCAAAAGTAAACCGAGCCTAGCTAACCTAAAGCTGGCTCAAGCTTGATAGCTTAAAATGGTCATATATCTAGCTGTCAATATATGCATACTTAAACATGTATAAAATATTTCGTAAATCTTGAGGCATTAAACTTAGGTGATTCTATCTCAGCTTTCAGATATCTTTTTGAGGCAGATCTCAGCATTTTGGGTAATACCCCATTCATAGACGGTTGCCAGATAGTCTAAAAAATTCTGCAGTCAGATCTACAATCTAGACACTATACCTGCTGATAAGGACGCAAGTTCAAGTACATGCACTATTTAGCTTGGCTCATGAGATGTGTGCTAAGTTAATTAAATATTTTAACCAGTGCATTCAATCACTTACTAAGCCTTACAAGTTGATAGTTATCTATTAAATTAGACCAAAATCAATGAAGGCAACTGGAAAACTCTGCATTGGTTGATATGTCACTGTTAAGTGCTTCAGTAGAAGTATCTTGCATGGACTTTGTTCGTGCTCAGTTGGTTATCTCTATGGAACTTCCCAATTTCCACAAACCACGTAATATACAAAACATGAAGCGAGAAACTGTGAATCAGAATGTGGAACATCAATCGCTGTTTTAGTGTATAGAGTGATGCTAAAAACCATACTTGGTACTTCAGTAGCAAAGTCATAACTTACACTTAATTAGAAGATATATTTTGGTGTCCCAAAAAATTCACTTCCTCTCTATCTCCATGTCTGCATGTGAATATTTCTTTTGGTACAAAGATGGCCCAGTACACAAAGACTCCTGACAGTATATATGTGTATTTGTCTTGGTGTGTGCACAAACATATCTATGTGTATTTACATACATACACATGTCAATATATGAGGATAATATAAGGATAATATGTATTCACATATTCATGCACATTTGATGTCGATGCATCATACATGCATATAATGTGTGTGTGTGTGTGTGTTATATTAACACAAGTGTGTGCCTATGTTTGTGTGCATGCATTGAAAGTTCTCCATACACCAAAGGTGCATTTATGCCACTAACATAAATATGCATTTTGCTTTCTAACTTCATTTTAACATCCACCACAAAGTTGAATAATTCATAAAAGTACTCACATGTGATCCTTGACTCGTACTGGATCAGACATACGCAGGTCATAAATTGATACCTGCATTTTCAACATGGAATAGAAAGGAAACAAACATTATTCAGGATAAATCATGAAAAATAACATGACCTTACTATTGCAGAGGGATGATTACAATGACCAAACTTCTAGAAGAAATTACTCGAATCTATGAAACATAGAAAAGGATTTATAATTCCATTTACACAATATATGAATACCTTTCCTGTGCTGTTGCCAACAGCCATTAGGTAACCCTGAGCATGATCAAATTGCAAAGCGGTAACTTCCTGAAATTTGCAGCAGAAAAGAAGCAAATATATCAAAAAACAAAGAAGACAGACACTAGCATTGCATTATTAGAGAAATGACTGGTTACAGATTCCTACATGACCAAAATCACCAATAGGTGCAACAGCATTAATTCTACCAACAGACGATTTCTTCCTCAAGTCAAAGCACTCTACAGCACCATCCTCACCACCACAAGCAACAAGCCCATGAACAGTGCTAATTTACCAAAAAAAATATTAGATTATGGACAAAAATTGTGTATATATACAACTAAACTTAAAGTAGAAGCTAGAAACAAATAGCACACTGAACCACCTTCGAGAAACAACATTTATAGCTGGTGATTGACTGTTGAGTGATAACCAAAAACGTCCCTGCCGATTAGAAAAGCATGTTAGAATCTTTTAAAACATAGAGGACCAGTAAAATTTGTATATTATCCATTTTCTAGGATCACCAACATTCGCATATAAGTAGAATCTCCACCATGAAGCATTCAAGTAATCTGAAATCATTCATTGAAAAATGACTAACTAGTACCTTAAATACACATACACATATAAAGTGCCCCTTTGGTATCATTAAACTGACAAAGAAGGTTAGTCAAGGAATGAATTTTGTTGTCATGTTATAACTTATAAGCATGTGCCACGGCACAGAAAGTACAAGGCGCCTGTTCTATCACATGCCAATAATTATGGGCTGGCATCCCTCTTTGCATGTATCACAACTTAGTGGAAAGCAAGACATCAAAATGGGAGCAAGGCTCAGCATGCAGAGAAATCATGGTTATTACAAGCAGAAGTTATTTGGAGAAAAATATACAACAAATCACCCATATGAAGTTCAAGCCTTGTTAGTGCAGGCTAACACCGAGCAGCATTCCAGCAACTAAAAGTTTTAGCAAATAGTACAAAAATATATATACCCAAAATGAACAAATGAAACAGTACATTGTTCACAGAATAAAATAGTACAGTCATGTGAATTGCGTCCACAAATGTTGCACATTCCCATATAACTCAATTAAAAGAAATATATATATATGATGACTTAACAAGTACCAATTTAATAATCAAAGTTAAGAAATTAAAAATTAGAAGTTGGTGCAGAAGGTTTAAGGACAATGAGATGGATGATTGATGTTTCAAAGAAAGATAAAATCCAGTCTAAATTAGATGTATCTTCAATAAGGATAAGATGAGCAGGATTCCAAAAAGTTCGCCAGAACATGCACCAAAGAGATCTTAAGTCCATGTGTAACTGAATTCGAAACAGAAATTTTAGGAAGAGAAGAAAAAGTCCAGTGAAGACTTACAAAACAATAGATGCTGACACTTCATTACCTGTGATAACAGAGCCTGCTGTAATGGATCCATGTAGTCAAACCCTATATGCTGTTCGTTGTTGGGATGACTGTTGCAACAACAATCATTGAAGTATTGATCTAATGAATACATACCATGCCACAATACTTGTCACAGAACCTGGGCATGGGACAACATGAACCCTGCTAGCTTGTGACAGGCATGCATTTGTGTATTTATAGTCCTTCTATTTCTTGTGTATATTGAACCCATTAACAAAACACCCCACAAGTTATTGGGAAATGACATTACTATATTTTCTCTTCAACTGCCTGAAGGAGGCTTTCTTGTACATTAAGATGTTTCGATCATAAGGATATTATCACCACAGTACATGGTGGTCCAACAACTTGGCGAAATCTATATATGCCATTGGCATAAATGACACCATATCAGTGCAGCCATTAGAGTGAATCAAAAAAAGGACAAACAGAAGAAAAGAACAGAAATAATTGACTACCGCTTATATAGTAGCCAACGGAGATTCCTATTAACGCACTATCATATGAAAAGAACCATTTGGGAGCAAGGATTTTTTGCACCAGGTGGAGAAGATGTTCAATTTGGGAATTCTAAACTTGTGGTATATAGTCTGTATCAAGTGCTACATACCACTCTAAATGTGGACACATGAGGACTGCCCCAAACTTGGAAAAGCCAAACCCAATTGAAAGTTTAACAACTGACTAAAAATCTAACTCTGTTGTTTCCTTGGGCATACCAGTAGAGGTAACTTTTGATCATGAAAGACATTGCAAAAGACCCCTTCTCTCTTGAAACTTCTTGCACATGCCTTTCCCATCAAATCTGAGGTGGCCATAGTAAAAGAGGAGAGAAGGAAAAGGTTAGTCCCCCTTCCCATGTTTTTTGTTTCTTATCATCTTTTGGGAAGAGGTCATTTGTCCTAATTTCCTGGTCAATCCCAGCAAATGTACAACCAATAAGGTATCACTGCCAATACAGCATACAAAATATGGTACATGTTCAAAACCGAAACTAGATTTGTAGTTCAGTCTACACTCTCACTGTAGCAACACACTGAGCCCCTATCCTTCGGACGCAAAACAGGCTTTCAATTGAAAAAAGGCAGGAAAGCTCTAAGCCAGTTAACTGCTTCAGTGTTTTTGAACTGATTTTCCTCTAAACAAGAAATAAGAAGCACATACTCCATGTTAAAACATGTTTTGTTCATGGAACAGCACATACATAGCTATGAATACCGAACGAGAAACCTTACTGATCATATATAAAAAAAAGGGTAGAGCATGTTATTGTAGTGAATTTCTTAACCACTGACAATTTGAGTTTTTGTTACCACTCTACCATATCTAACATAAGATAAATTTAGTAAGATGCTAAAGTAGTCTCATCTCTAGCACATGCCAATATACTCTAGAAGTACATGGTTTTCCTAGTGCCAAAGTATCATGATTCACATCCCATGTCAAGCAATCAATTCTAAATGACTTATGCATACAAATGAGATGTGGCTACCATACAACAAACCAAGTTCCACCAGAATAAGAAAAAAAAACTTGCACTCTTCTTCAGACACCAAAGGGAAAGGAATGGAGGAATAAGAGAAGAAATCAACGAAAATACTTCATTTTAGTTTAACCATTACAGAAATCAGATATATGTCACCCTGCCACAGCTCAATGCATTTATTTTTTTGACATCTCAAACCAACGGCTTAAAAAGAAATAAAGTAGTAAAGTATTTAAATTCATTACAAAAACTTTATAATTAACCTGCTCCAAATTAATCCTGTACAGATCTGGGGATGAAGCAGCACATAGCAAGTCACAGGACCAACTGTCATAAGCAATATCTCTCCCCATCCTAACAATAGTAAAGCCAGTAATTAGAATAATGCTATACTCAAAATATAAGCCAAGATTTTTGAAGCAAAAGGAGCAATGCTGCAAGCATATTTCGTGTAAATAGAACCAGGAAGTAAATTTCATAATAACCATAAAATGATTTTTTTTCTGACAGAATAAAGAGGGAGAGAAAAGGGGGAGGTTCCAGCTAAAGAATAAATTGCTAGATCCTTTAATAAAAGACACATGCAAGAACAGCAAAATATACATAAATGATTTATAGTTTGAACATATAGCATTCATGTGAAACCACTAAATTCTTCAAGCTACCTTATTTTTTAAGCCTTTGATCAAAGTAATAATAATAAATAAGAAGCCACCTAAAAGTAAAGCTTTGATACATAGGTGGTCCTCTAAGACCTATCAGTGTGGCCTAGAACAAAATCCCATAGGCACCAGGAGCTAGGAAATGCCAGCTCAAGAGAGTAAGCCTAACCACCTAAATAAAAATGCAGCTGCTAGCTACAGTTCGTCCAGATTACCGCAAGGAAGGCCAATTAACAGATTGTGATTTAGCCTCCTTCCAAAGGAAGCACAAAGATTTTATCTCCTTCCAATATTGAATAATTAACAAGTCACCAAAACATAAGCTTCATGAGGTTTACTTTAGAATATTTTTGTAAAATTATTATCATGCTCATTTGTTCTCCTTCCTAGGTTTTAACATGTTTGTCAATTTTAGGTGGAATATAAAAGCAACCCTCCATATGTTGTCTCAACTTTTTTGTCAGATCATAAATGAAATATCATTATATAGACAAATATTGAATTTAAAACTTTAATCCAAACATGAGATATCATTACATATGCAAGATGACTACAAACACCAAATCACAACGTGTGTAGCCATCTATAGAACACTCAATCATCAAAATAAAAATTCAAACATCTACCAATCCAACAAATCTAATGATCATCAAGATCCACAACATCATCAACATCATACATGTTCTCATCTGCTCTCTCGCTTGTTTTATATCCATCATCTATTCTTTTGTTTTGTCAAAATCAACTTCCTCCACTTCAACGTCCACTACCCTTGAACTTGATGCTTTTGCACTTTAGTCTTGCTCGTCATCTAAAGTATGACCTTGTTTCCCAACACTAGTAACCTTACTGCAACACCCATGTCAAATTGTCATCATGCAAAAAACAACATCAACATGTTCGAACCCATCTCCCCAACCATCTCTCACAGAAGTTAGGGATGCTGGATGCAAGGAAAGGAAGGGAAGAGAGGAAGAGTGAATAGAGGACAGTGGCGACAGAGCATCCACAAAGAGAGAGGTGAAAGAAGAGAGAGGATAGAGGAAGCGAAGGGAGAGAGGAGGGAAGAAAAGAAGGGACCTACCAGCAAGCAAATATGATAGAGGCCACTGATGGATGAATCCCTTGACCATAAATCCTAAGGAACAAGCCCTTGATCTTGAACAGTTATTGACTTGGATCAGATCCTACAGCCAAACAGTTTTTGGATCAAATTTGGGGGAATCGAGTCTGTAGCCATGCAGAACCCAGACAGGCACCTAGGATTCCTAGCATCTTAATTAGACAGGCCTCTACGATTCCTAGCATATTAATTGACACCTAGGCAATTGCTCGAGCACCTCTAAACAACATTGGACCAACACACAACCTAGGAGACCTATCAACAGCGGAAAAAAAAATGCAGCATAACAAGTCTTAACAAGGGAGATAAATTTTCCCAATATCTGACGAATTAGTTATGAACCTATTGTCCTTCAGACTTATAATAGAAGTTTGTCTTAAAGAAACATGAAAACCAACCAAAAACTGACTGAAATGGAAAAAATTGATATTTTTGTTCATGGTGAGTTTAGTAGAAGGCCCAGATTCATCTCATCTTTAATCGGCTGAAATTAGCAGAAACCCCAAATTGTCTCATTCTTGAGCCAGCTTAGGAAATAACAGTTCCTTTTGTCATTTAAGCCCATGGATGTGCTGTTAAATCACGCAAATCACATGTCAAACTAAACAAATTAGTCCCAATTATGTATGATTTAGCTTTGAAGAATAAGTTTCTGTTCAATATAAGCAGACAAACAGAAAGGCAGTAAAGATACTTGATAAAATAATAATAATAACATATACCGGCAACATCATGGTACAAAATAGTTACCATCCAGCAAGAAAATGAAATTGTGGCAAAGAGAAAAAAGTGAATTTAATATCTTGAAAATTAAATTTTTATCAGTCTGTTGACCAACCGTGGAATCCTTAAGCTGTAGTGACTTCCATATTTTGCATGTAGACACACGGATCGATCAGCACACAGAAATGCAATTTTTGAATAGTCATCAGCTAGTACCTGTTCAAAATTTCCTATTAGTTCATGCAGAAATATTTAACGATAAAGATGAAAACAACAAAATTTACCATATGGAACCAATCTATTGCATGCATAGAATAAGAACTACAACAATGTAGTTGAATCCATCATATGAAACCAACTGACAGACACAACGCAAAGCATTACAAGAACCACAAACAACAGAACCATCCAAACAAAAACTATACTTAAGAACAAAGTCCAAATGTAACAAGTTGGTAGCAGCCTAGCTGGTAACCAATATATATATATATATATATATATATATATATATATATATATATATATATAC